GCGGTTAAAATTTCCTACATGAATAAATTATTTTTGATTTTATTTGATTATTATTTGATACATACATACGTATGTATATGTTACCAGGATGTTCTGTATTTGTAAATATTTGTTTTTGTTTTTTATGTACATTAAAGAGTATTATTATTATTATTATTATTTCTTATTGGCTTTCACCGGTATTTTTGTTATATACGGACCTAAGTGAAGTACATAAAAATGTTACTTTGACATGAATATAGTACTTTGAATATCGGCCTGATCTGTTTGAAGAAATTTTCTGACTATGCGGCTTGTATTTAGAATTACAGCCTTCTGTATTGGCAGTATATACTAGGTGGCAAGTACAGGATATTTATTGATTGATGCATCTGTTTTGTTATGACAGTGTACTGTAGTGGAGAGGATGATTGGGTATTATTATGAGTACATGTTAATAATTGAACTGAATGTATATTATTATTTTAATATTCATAGTAAATACATGCATAAATTCTGTGTATCTATATATATGTACATATACCTCAAAAGTGACTGACTGACGTAGTGATCAACTATCAACGCACAGCCCAAACCACTGGCCGGGTCGGGCTGAAATTTGGCATGCAGGTAAATGTTATGACGTAGGCATCCGCTAAGAAAGGATTTTGATTAATTCTACCCCCAAAGGGATAAAATAGGGGATGAAAGTTTGTATGAAACTTTGTCAATTTTAATAAATTAACGCGAGCGGGCTTAAGCTAGTATTATATATTGTATATGCTAGTATTATATAGTATATACATTTATCAAAAAATATGTAAGTATTTATATCAGTTATCTTGTACCTGTAACACAAGCTCTGCTTACCGTGGGACTAAATGACGCTGTTTTAATTGTTCAGGGTTATTTATTTATTATTTTAATAAACTCCCTTTTTTTCTCTTATATTTGGTATAAAAGAAAGTTATTAATAACATTATATTAGACAGCCTAGCGCTTTAACACACTGCCCTAATACTGATAGTCGCGGGTTTGATTCCTCGCACTGTATTCATGATTATGACTATTTGTACCGGTCTGGATATTTTCTATGTATATTACGCGTTGACAAAAAAAAATGTATTTATATCAGTTGTCTAGTACCAGCAATACAAGTTCTGCTTAGCTTGGGACTAGATGGTGCTGTCTGAATTGTCTTAAAATATTAATATTACTATCTACAATATCTTACTGTTCTAGTTACAAGTTTTTTTTTAATTTACCTAGTAAAATGATTGGAATCCCAGTCAGCCAGCCAGGTAGCGCCAGACCGTCGGTCTGTACAGCTTGTCTATTTATTTGTGAACAAAAGTAACTACTACTTAGCGAGATAACAAATGAGAGGACCATTTTCCTGCGACCTTCAATTGTTTACGTGTAATTACCGTTTGTCAAACAACTATAAAGTCGTCTCATGTTGCCGACATTTTTTGTCAGCAATATTCCTGTGTACTTTCAAGAATCATTAATATAACGAGCAAATTAATGTACAAATCGCTTTTAAAATTTACTTTCGATATCTCTTGAACATTTCTGCAGATACCTATGTCTCATTAACATTTTTAACCGCTTCAAAAAAGGATGCTCTATGTTCGATCGCATTTTTTATGTACATAGTATGTTTATCGGCATTTCAGTTAATTGTGGACCGATTTATATAAATATTTTTTGGTTGGAATTTGGTATATCTACACCTGAAGTGTTATTGCCATTGTCAACAAGTTAGGGCCTGATAATTTATTGCAAAGTTAATAGAAGTAAATATTCAAATATATGTATAGGCAGGTATTATGTGTTTGTGTGTTGAAATTTTTAGTGTAGTTGTTCAGGTAAATAACATAAAAAAAGTAATAATTGACTCTTGCCAACGATATATTACCTATATAAAATGGACTTATATATCGTACTTCATGACAATCCATAATTAAATTTTTAAATTAATTTAAAAACAAACTCATGATTCATTATTCCAAAAATAATTGTTGTATATAACACTTATAACCAAATATAATAATTTGAACATGTTCTCGTAAAGCATTGTATTAATAATGTAATGATAACTATTTTTAGATAAATTTAGTCATTATGAACAAACATACACAATCATATACTTCCTGTTTATGTTAGTATTCACAGATTCCATACAAAGAAAAGTATAGTCTGTTACAAAGATCATATTTTAATTTTGTAATAGAACCAACATCAGGATTATTAAAACACTGTAAGTACCTACCTAGTACCTATTAGGTAAACATTATTTTAACAACCTACTAGACTAGGTAACTGTAATGTGAATAACTTTATATATTATTTGATGACCCGCGAACTGTGTTCCGCCTCAAAATTAAATATGCCAAAGGTTTTTTGAAGTTTAGTCACGCAATAAGTTTCTAAGCGCACCTTGTTTGACAGGTATAAGCAGTTTGTATGGGAAAATAAAAGTGTTGTTTTTACTATTTTATATGCAATTTCAACATATTTATCACTGTTTAAATCTTCCCTGGACCTCCACGAATATTTCAAAAATTAGCCAAATCGGTTCAGCCATTTTCGAGTTTTAGCGTGACTAACGAACAGCAATTCATTTTGATATATATACATATAGATAAAACAAAATCCTTCCTTTACCTCTGTTTATATATTCGCGATAATCCCAAAAACTTGCTGAACAGATTTTCATGCGATTTCCATACATCAACAAAGTTCTAAAGGCTTATTTATATAATTATTTATAGTGTACGAGAGAGACAAAGAAATAGAAATAATATTTAATCAAACTTTTCATAAGCACTTTTAAATATTTTTTTATTGTTTAGATTATCTATTTCATTATTTTGTTATGTTTAACAATATTTGTTTCATTTGACTTTACTTACTTAACTTTTCTGTGTAATATCGTAATTCATAACTTGGACATAAAGATCACAAATCATGAAATTACCACTGCATTCCTCATTTTAGAGATTTCATCTCGTTATCACGAATTGTAATTACATTTAATTATTTATATACATAATGTACAGTTACTATTGAAAATATATAAAATTATAATTTCATGACGCGGTAAAAAATGTCTGTCTGCATTTATATCCGTATATTTAGCAAGTAAAATCGTGTGCAGGAATAGAATGAAATTTTCACAGAATATGTGGGTATAGAAATCTTAGAGAGAGGAGGTTTAATTTAAGTGGTATTTCTTTCTTCTTATTTTTAAATAAGCCATCGACAATTGTTAACTAATTTTCTTTTTAATTTTAATTATGTATCATTATCATCAAGTTGGCGTATACAAGATGTCTGAGTTGTCTATGATATCTTGGGGCTAGGTTAGGAATAGAAATAAAAGTTCTGTATTAATTTGCAACTAAACGATGATTTTTAATACATTTCTCCTATATTACATTCGTTTGTACAAAAACAACGTATCAATGAAGTATACAACGTTTCAGTATTCAATTCGACCTCACCCAAACTTCAATCAACAAATACTATACAAAATCACTTAATCACATAAAAAATTACGTATATACGAGATCGTAACCATTTTGGAATGGAAAAAAAATATAAAACATTCACAAAACAGGCAAAATATTACTGATTTTATGTAAGAAAACTCAACAAAAGCATTGTTAAACAGTTATGTACTATAATGTACTGTTAATTAGGTTAATAATTGAATGTTTAAAAAAATAATAATATCAACAATCCAATAATTGATACTTAGTTCAAAACCAATGGTAGAATATTAAAATTAATTATTACAATAAAATATTGTAATTTTGTTATTTTTACAATTTACATAACGAGATCAGTAATAACTGCCGGGGATTAACCTATACATTGTAGGTACAAAATGTCTGAATAATCCTATGACACATCTGCAATCATTTGTGATGCGTGGCACAGAATAATTAGAACTACGTATTATAAGAGTTGGCACCGCCCTTTTGATCGTTGAACAAAAATTGAATCTATGTAACAACCTGTATAGCTTCTAAAAAAGAAAAGTATACATAATTTCACACCAAAAATATTTTAATTGAGGTGGGTTTGCATATTCAGATGCAGCCTTTAAAATCGACTTATGTTATATGAATATACATCATTGCAAATATGCAGTATATGTATATATAACTAAATAACTAAAAAAAAATATTGTTACATAGATATCATACAAAAATTGTAACTAGTGATACAATCCTGGATTTGAAATGCGTGGTTGATTTTTTTCATTTCATGGTTAGGCAAAGGTTTCTCGACCATACAGCTTTGGTTAAATTTCCTTGGCAACTAAACCAAGTGGTGTATTAAAACCAATAACATTTAAGCACAGATATGATATCAAAACGTTTTTAAACAAAATATAAGAAACTATTTTTATAATATTGAAGGAAAATTGTGTCAAGGTTCGGTATCTCTTTTATTACAAAACACGATAATGTCGTCAATGTAAACTGTATACCTACTTAACAAAAAGTCATTATTATTACATTGTAAACGCGTTTTTTTAGAGATTTTATTTACGCATTCTAGTTGACCGTTTCGATGCCACAGCCGTGATTCTTTTTTTAATCTGTGGACTTATTTATTTAGAAAAATCTTCTAAATTGATCATAGTGTCATTACCTTTCAAATATCTAGTTTTAATTTTTTAACATTAATGTTATTGTCGATGGGTATCTTGACTTGACTAACAATGGCTATTTCATGTATGTTCCCACATTAAATAGATATACTTATGTAGCTCTTACAAAATAATAACAACGTCATATTCTTCTGTAGTTTTTTGATTTATAAAAGTCTTGGAACAAATCCTTTTTATTATTGTAATAGAACTACAAATACAAGTAAGTTTGTTAAACAACCAACTTTTGTGGTAAACAAGATATTATAGAACTTTTTGTATAGTTATATAAGGTTCTTATTATATCTTCATTTTGTTATGATAACAGCACAAAGTTTTTTTTAATTGTTTTCATTTAGTCCACTATACATAGTGTTGTTTTATTAATGTGTGATTATTATAAATCTAAATCGATGTTTGACTAATGTAATTGCAAAGTTATTTTTATTTTGTCTTTTCGTATTAAACGCAAACTCTTTGGTAAGTAGGTACAAATTATGTTCAGTAATATTTTATCGTAGACCTTTCTATCTTTATAGATTTACAACATTTCTATAAAGAAATATAAATTATTTTAAATATTATTTTTCTTTTTCAAAATGTAAAAATCCACAGTGTCATTTGAAAGCAATAAGACAATATAGAAGATTTTAAAACATTTTAAATTACCTACACAGCCTTCTATATTTTTTACTTGTCTATAGTGCAAGTAAAATTATTGTTCATTTTAGTTGCTTTTTAAGTCAATATCAATGGTAAGTACTTTATTCATAAAAACGTCAAGCGTTCAAATAAATTCATTTTAGTAGAATGAGTTTTAAATCTAGATCGAAAACAAATTATAATTTAGATCTTAGTTGTTCACACGAGTATTTCAAGATATTCTATTGGCAAAAATACAAAACAAAATACATCAGATTACGTTTATTGAAGATTTTACGTTGTTATGAATAAGTAGATGGAGTTACAATGAACAAAGCAAAGCAACAAAATATGTATTTTACCAACATGATATTATTGTATTAAAAATTATAAAATGAAATAAAGAGAGAGTGTTAGAAACATGAAAATAAACGATTTTCTTATAATTACATTCCTGCTGCATGATGTCGAATTGAAGACAACATTAATTTGAAGAATGGCTAAATGTCTACCTAACTAATGGAGCAATTATATTGAATAACCAGATCTCTTTAAAGTAGTAATAGATATTTGTTACAAAAGTAATGAATCATTAATCAGTTATTACGTCATCGCAGTTTAATAGAAACGGCAAAACAAAGTAAGTAAACAAGAAGAAAATTCACAAATTTAAAAAGATCTGACTCAATATAAGTATCGACTAGGCATTGGGGGAACTCTCTTGAGACAACGCAAGTAAAAACATACAAAAAGTTGAAATCACAGAATACTTTCCAACAAACAATTCAACGACAAACACAACTGGCCGCAAAACAGAACATTTTAAAAGAAAGCAACCCCACTTCCTAACAATAATTCGTTATAATATCTTAAAATTGGTTAAATTCCTTTATCCACTGTCCAGAGTATACAACCTTGGCGCTCCTTCACTTCAACATGGCCGTCTCACTCACACAGGCACACGTAAACACAGACTAATGTGTGTGTGGTCACCGCACATGCCACAGGCCGAGGTTAAGTACACTAAGCCGAGGCAACTTTACTATATGGTCCAAGCCTTGCGGAGTTATACACGTACACCCGTACAAGTCTATTGCCTTTAAATTCTGTAGTCCGTCACCTAGAGCGCGTAATCCTCTGTCTGTGACACGGGTGCACTGCCCTATATTTAGTGTTTCTAGTTGTGATAACCTGGCGACTCGTTCTAAGCCCTCATCTGTGAGGCGACAGGCGCTCAATGAGAGGGAACGTAGCCCTGACAAACCTAAAGTAGCATGCGAAAGTGCTTCATCGCCAACTTTATCGCAGAAAGACACATCTAATGCTCTCAATCGTCCGCTCTCAGCTAAGTGGGCAACACCAGCGTCCGAAACGCCATCACACGCTCTTAAATTAATATCTTCTAAATGCGGTAGTCGCGCCAAATGTCTTAATCCTGCATCCGTAACGGCTACGCAGAAAGATAGATTTATAGATTTCAGTTTAGGAAGACCAATTGCAGTATGCTTTAGAGCTTCATCCGTTAACCTTTGGCAGTCTTGTAGTCCCAGGTACTCCAACTCAGGCGTCCCTCTCGCCTCTCCTCCGCCACACAGGTGGGCTATACCAGCATCATTTACATGCCAGCAGGATCTTAGGTTTAGACGACGAAGTTTCCTAAGACCCCAAGCTATAAGAAGTAACCCTGTATCCGTTATATTGCAACACCCACCGAGTTCTAGTTCTTCTAAGTTTTTTAGTGATTGAGCTATCCTGCCAAGCGACGAGTCTGTCACTTGTTTGCATAGCGATAAGTCTAATCTCTTCAACGCTGGTAGTTCAGCTGCAAATGCACTGGCCAATGCTGCATCCGTTACACTGTAGCATCCACTAAGCGACAGTGATTCTAATCCTGGAAGCGCTATGACTGCATCTCTTAATCCTCTCCTCAGCGATAGTACCTGTAGTTTCCTCACTCCCCGTCTGGCCAACGACGCGAATAACACTGGTGCTGGTCTTCTAAGATGTAAAGCAGCTTCGACTCCTCGCCACACAGATCGCCTGTCCGCCGCATCTTTCCAAGCGCGGCAAACTTGAGCTGCCCGTCCTCTGTCCCGCACCGGTAGCCTCTCAAAAATCAACGCCAACAATTCCGGATACAACCTTGATATGTGCGTTCCTTGGGGCTCCGGCGGTGTTTCTGGCACGTGAGGTGCGGGCAAATGCGGCCGATGTAGTCTGTACGGCGCGCTACGTTGTTTTCTCCTGGTCGTGCTCGGCAGTTCGGTGAGTCCTAATCGGTCATCGCACCAGGATAACACATCCTCCGTCCACGCACTCATTGCGACGGCACTATACACTATAACGCGACACGAAGCATTGGACCGGTTTTCGGTGAAACTCGTGTTGTTGGTGAGGACGCGATGCGCGTCCTATCCGCGCGCTGTTCTCTCGTGGACTGGCGAGCGGTGGAGAGCGGCGCGCCCCCCTCGCGCCGGCGGCCGCCCGAGCGCGGCTATTGGTCGCGCTCGGCGGCACGTGACGCGCGCCGTATCGATTCGGAGGCTCTGCGGCGGCATTTTTAAGTTGGCGGACCGAGAGCCCGCCTTCGTCCCGCGCGGCTCTACACACCCGCTCTATAGATTATAAGAGAACAGAGCTGCATATTATATTACTGTAAATAATATTCTCTTAATATACAATAAATAAAAAATGTATAACACTATTAACTACGCAGTTGTAATATAGTATAGAAATATCAAATTGCTTGTAGCGTCTTATGAAAAGTGCTATGACATGAACAGCGTCACAGACATCACAAAATATATAATGACCCCCTTTTGCACTTCTTATGCGACACAGTTCCAAGAACTGCTATGCGGAATTGCTGAAGGTGCTATCCTTGAGATACCATAGCCATATCTCAGTGTTTAAAATATTTAAAATTTAAGTAATTTATACGTATACTTGACTATTACTGTTGTCTAGAATTCTTGTTGAATAGAAAATATTGCGAAGTATCCTTTGTGAGAAACGCAGCAATTCAAGTACACTAATTTCCAAGAGTAGTGCCGGTTCGCGAGTATAATATATTCACAGCTTTCAAACAAACCGGTGATAACGGGTCCCTTGGGAGCAAAACCACTGAAAAGGGCTAATTAATAACTGCACCGCTAAATACTCAAAATTGTCATATTAAAAGTTATATACACCACAGTTATACTACCCGTTTTAATTTCTATAAGTTCATCATTCTATGGTATTTATATGATTAAAAAAAGTTAAATTCATATATATTATTGGATTACTTCAATCTGAATTTTTAAATCATTTAAAAATTCAGAAGGTTATTTAAATTGCTAATTACAAATTCACAGATAATGGGAGTTGTTATGGATTTCTCCATGAGAATATATTATATAGGCAATAATATCATAACTATCAACTATTTTAATCTTTGCTCTGAGTGATAAGGCGGCAAAACAACTCAGCGCGCCGTATATTTTCGTTCGCGCTGCACTTGCCGACGACTTACGGCCAGTTTATGAAGACCCCTGTCACCTCCCGCGATGGTCTCTATTGCTGGAGATGGAAGAATTCCCAAGTATTACGACACAGATACGGTTATACTGGCCATTTGATAACACCGGCCAACTATTACAAGGGCGACCGGTCGCGACTCGCGAGCGTTCCAAATATGAATTTCGAATTCAAACGTGTTCCAGAATGGAACGCGGATCGGTTCGGTAGGCCCTGTCTACGAAACTGGTTAGAGATGATACTTTCCTAATGAAAATATACTTTGCATTTGATCTAGATATTTGTTTTTAATATATGGCTCTGAGCAAGTATGTATTATGCCAAGAAGGAATACTGTACACAATAAAAGTGAAAATGCAACGCAAATGCATGAAAGCATTTGCGTCCAGATGCATAATTATTATGCCCAATGTATTTTACTATTTACTCACTAATATTTTTTTTTTAATTATAGCTAGCGTTTGTCAACTTTTGGCAAAATCAACATACTTTTATTGAAAATGAGTTGATATTAGATAAATTGTGTTGTTTTTACACCAAATTGGGTACTAAGAATTTAAAATTGTAATTACACATTTTTTACTTATTTCATCACTAAATTTAATTTAAAAACAATTTATTTATATATAATGTCATGTCTTTCTAACTGTTTCGTTGCTGCGTTTAGAACTAAATTATCATAATTAGCATTCATTTAGCATGCTAATATCTATAGACATAAATCTATCAAAATTGCTGATCCTAGTCTTGAAAATATCTTGAGAATTTGGCCAAGATATCCTTTAGACCGTTATATTATTAACAATAGGTTTGTGACTGGAGCGGGAATACTACTATTTTATTAAAAATCAGAATAATAGTAGGTAATAAATGTGTATATTTCCCAAAAGAGCTCACAGCGAAGAAATAGTCAAAAGTGACATATAAAAAAGAAATATCAAAAATACAAAATTTATAAAAGGAATGGTGGACAAGCTGCCAGCCACGAGGTTTATTATGGAATAGTAGTAACAATATTATGTTATCTGTGGTAGTAATATTTAAATTTTAAGAAATTATAAGGGCCTATATATACTTACCAATACAAAAATATCGGCTTTCTAATTTTAAAAATAGAATGTTTTTAACATTATATAATTTTAAAATTGGAAGGGACCATTTCACACACGTGAAAAATCACAGGTAGGTGCCACCTACCTTGCTACTATTACTATCTAGGTATAACTATTATCTACCTATTCATGTCGTAAGAACATGTGCTAGTGTGAGTGAACACAATAATTTAGTACATTTGAATTACAATTTTATTGCATTAGAATTAAGGCAGACTTTCGTGTTAATATATCAACGTTTAGTACTTATGAATAGAAAAGTTATATTCAAATGGAATTTCATTCTTTTGCGTATACGAATAAAGATAATTTTCATTTGTAAATTTTTGTATACTAAATGTATAAAAGAGAAACCTCAACAATAGTAGCGTAGTCAGTCTTATTACGACGAATTAAAGTTTATTCTCGTTTGGATATTAGTGTATAGGGACGGAATGTAAATCAGCTGATGTGCATGTGTGGGTGAGCGTGGAAGGCATGCGGGTAGTGGACCCGCGATCCGCTTGACTGACTCTACTGTGCTCTAACTTTTTTTTATAAAATACTTTCATATCTCACGGGGTGGATTGGAACAAATGTAGATACAGCTTTATTATTCGTAGAAAGTTTTAGAATAGTAATACAGTTTGCGCTACTGGGCTTAAAATTCCGTTAGAAATATGAAAATAATTGGTGATTATTTAATAATAAAAAATATTTTTAATCGATATATTCCAATAAACTGATTGATTAGTAATCCATTTTTGTCTGAAAAGAAAACAAGATCTAAAGTATTTACTGATAATAAATTGAAAGAACACGGTTGATGTCTATAAAAGACGAAACCAATGATGACCTACATAAAATAAGTAAAAAGAAACACTGATCAAGATGCTCAGAAATCGATTATTCTATAAAATCGATTATTTTAAGAAGCACCGATAGTTTTTTAATTGATTATTATGCTAACAGAAACAATCAATTAGATAATAATGGACTTTTTATGTGGAGTGTCACATCTCTAAATCCTGCACATAGTTGGTCACCAGTGAGGGTAATATGTCACTTAGGCCATCGGGAGTATTTTAATGACTAATAATGTAATGGTGCATTCGCCTGCGCTAACGGTATACGCTAGCGGGGCACCAGTAAACGATGATAAGATGAACATGTGGTCATGTCAGTTAGCCCATTGTAACAAATTACTAGGACTTATCGCGATAGTTTCCCATTCTAGCAATGGGCTTATTAATCCACATTACTAACAATTCCATTTCTGCTTCACTAGGACAGTTTTTAAGAAGAACAGTGCGGTTGTCAACTCGACATAGCTGACAATTCCTTCCTTAAGGAAATAGGCAAATATTCGATGTAGGTTAGAGGCTCTGTAGCCAGATATGCTAGCTATGTACTAGACCAGGTTGTCACGACGACATTTGCTGTCCCCCTGGAGGCTATCATGCTTAATTTCTAGTAAATTCTGCATAGTACCCAATTAATATTTTATGATTATTCAAATTCAAAATATCGACACGTTCTCAACTTATCAATAAGTAGGTGCCTCTCTTATCATACGGCTAACCGTATACTTAGTGGTATCAACTCCGTTACAAAGATAGTACCTATGTACCTATAAAAATATGGCATTGCTAATAAAATCAACTTTATTTTAAACAAATTATAAAATAATATAATTAATACGTATATCATTTCATAAGTAATTTTATATTTCTGCCTCAGATTTAAATTTGCTAAGACGCCAGAAGATTATGATTATGAATTAACGCTACATCGCTAATTCTCCTAGTGACATCTAGCGAGTAATAGAATAACTCAATTGAAGCTGGTGCTGCCATCTGTAGTGTAATAGCCGTAATATAGACACTTAATAGTCACATATAGGAAATATAGATGGCGCTTCATTGTTCCATGATTTTTTTTCTATTCACTCGTATTTTTTACTAATACTGTAAACCTTTCCTTTGTAAGAACATAGCAGTTTAATAAAACTGCAAATAATAATATAGAAATAATCTTTATACCGAAATGAGTAAAAATTTAAGATAATTATTAAAAACTATTTTGTATTTTTTCCAGCGTTTTGTACGAAAAGATACTTTAAAAAATTTAATATGATTCCAATTTCCAAACAGTAAGACTATGGTTTAATTATATATGGTTTAAAAATAAGTATGCACTACTAAAATGAGTACAATAGTAAAATGAGAGTACACTTTGAAATTTATTTTTCCACAAGTGTTTTGAAATATTAACATTTACTGACTTGACGTTGGCAGAACACATAATAGTGTTGCCAGTGTTGCCACCTTCGAAAAAAATTTTAGTTCTCTAAAACTGTTAGAATGAAATAAACATTTCAATATGTTAGAGAACAAATGGATGTTTACGTATTTTTAGTTTTTATTTCTGTATGATATATGCATGTACATTAAATATTATCTAAGGGCACGACATGCGACATCTTGACTTATATACCAAGATGCAGAAACAGACTTCACTACATAAATCTCCCACACCGACACATTTTCTGGCGCTTTTGGATTAATTTTATTGTACCTATCTACCGATGATAATGAGTTTTAAAGGAGGACAATGAAATTCATTACTATTATAATTATAGAGTATTTTATTTTCCAGTTAACTATTGTATGTCAACATTTAATGTTGGGATTTTTTTATTTATTCGTATAAACCTATATATCGCTTTTATGATCTAGTGGTTCAGCACACTGCCTTGCCACCGATTTTTGTAGATTCGATTAATAATCGCGGATTCGATTCCTCGCACGGTACAAGCATTTCTATTCAAGAATGCGATTACTTGTATTCTTGTTGTCTGGGTGTTTTTATATAAAAAATGTACCTATGTTCACAAAAAAAATCTGTTATTTAGTACACATAGTACACTCTCTACTCAGTTTGAGACTACATGACGCTAAGTGAATTGTGAGGACTAAATTATTAAAAAAAATGTTTTCGTAACTGGAATGGTAAACATATTCCCGGCTTACCTGATGATAAATGGTAACCATACATCTATCTCTTATATATATATTCACTAAGTTGAATAATCAATAAACGAAATAAAACATCAAGCGTTGAATAAACACTTCATATTAATAGAGATAGAGTTAAGAGTTATTCATGTGTTTGCTTGTTTAAATCCACTATTTATAATTCCAGTTTATTCACAACATACATAAGTATATTTAATAGATACAGATGAGGAGGGGGTTTTCACAATGGGGGCTAGCTTACAAGGTACACTGCCAGGTCAACCTCCACTTTGTCTCTCCTGGAATGTTGATTTCCAGATTATTTTGTCACGATGAGATAACTGACTACTGGTACAGCGCCAGTGTGTACCGTTAGCTCAGGTGGGTGCACCATTTCATTATCAATCATTAATTTTTTTGAGACTTCTTTGAAGTAAATTAATCCATGAACACTTATATCAAAACCAATAACTAATCTGAGAGACAACGGTTTTTACACTAATATGGTGGCAAACAAGCATACGGCCCATCTGATGGTAAAAGATTACCGTAGCCTAGCCGTCTGAGACATTAGGGGTGTCACGTGCGCATTGTCGACCGATAAGAAACGTTAATATAACCTTTTTAAAAAGTCTCTCTCCTTAAATATACGCAGAGAATTCTGATTATTTTAATTGCGTGTACATTGATGTTCACAATTGACAGTGCCTCTGATTACCCCATATGAGATCACCACAATGTTATTTACCATACTCCTCCGTAACGGGTTGACCGATGTTTATGAAATTTTAAATGCATATTCAGTAGGTCTACCACTAATTATTTTTCATAGTTCGAAATGATAAGGGTTGTCCAACCCTGACATTTTAAAAAAAATATTTTTAAAACATTTTTTTTTATTTTATAATGTGGCATTAAAATCACCAACCCCTACTTTTTTATAGCGATTTTAAATTTACATGGAAAAATAACGTTTACGGGATCAGCTAGGAAGTTAACAAAAGATACGAACTCTTCGCATACGATGGATTCACGGTGCGTGTGCCGGCTCCATCGTGAGGCAGAGACGGAAACTTCGAGCAGTTCCCGGGACTTGTGAGCCGGGTGTAGGTTTAAGGGGACCCTTTGATAACCCCGCTCTTTAGCCTGTTCTCCGCGGCTTCTACCATAAAATGTTTACGGAGTTGAAGTCGTGATTCAAGTTGAGTTTGAGGTACTGAGTTTCCTAAGACATGCATCTTGGTAACTCTGAAGTGTTTATAAAGGTATTTTTAGTCTCTAAATAGAAGAAATACGAGCGACTAATAATTTCAAACGTGACGGACAGACGGATGTGCATTTGCATAGGTATCGCGTGTATTAACGCAGTTACATCTACCTTCGTTAGGTTCCTTGACATTCATCTTTATGTGTACAAACTAATAATTTATCCCCAATGCTAATCAATAGAGCAACATATACTATACAAAACATACCAGTTTACCCGTGATCATGGTGATCGCTTAAAGCACTGCCGAAGTATGGGAACTCAATAAAAATATAACGTGGTAAGGTCCCGTGATTTTTTCTAATTATATATATACTTATTATTCCGTAAAAAAAAATATACAATTTTACGGTTTAGATAACAAATTTCATAAACTAACTTTTTGAAAACTCTACTATTGATTTAAAACAGAAATAATCTATATTCAAATAGACTTACTATAAACACTTTTGGATAGTCATATTTTTGTTATTCTACCATTCGTTCGAGAATTTACAATGATGGTTTGAAAGAGTAACCGCGTGGAAGTCAACCGTAAATTGGGTCAACAGTTCACATTACTAACAATCCCTTTCCCCCTTCAACGGAGAGTCAATCAGTTATATTTCTGATTGACTCTCCGTTGAAGCTGAATGAGTTGAATTTATACACAAAGTATTTTTTTATGCCGGTCAGAAGTGAACTCACGACCTTTTGTGTTTAAGTCGAGATAGTTAACCACGGCCACGATGCCCTCATACTCCAGTTTAGTATTTGTGTATAGCAAATCTCACTAACAAAAAGTACTCCTTTACACTAACTTTTATTTTATTTTATGAATGTTGATTCTCCTCGATTGAACTTCGCTAGCAATAAGTAAGAGCACAACAAAATTTCCCCGTTCCACACTTGCTTAACCACAACTTAAATCAACTTAACTTTATTCCCACACAATTCTATAAGTCACTCTCAGTCGAATATCGTACACGGCGGAGCTTACACGCCTTAACTTAACTCTAACTTAGACGCGTATCGGAACAAATCTAAATAATCGACTTTTTAAGTGAATATTATCGACAACTAGTGATGTAAATCTGGTACGACTTGAGTAGTTTTTCATGTTAAAGTTTTATTAAGTTGCATCGTTTTGGTTTAACTTAGTGTGCGAACTTTTTGTTTTGTTTTACTTAGTGAGATTCTTAAAATTCTTACAAGCACTTGTTCTGAATTTGTGATTGCATTTTAATATTTGGGGGTCTGTTTATATGTTAATAATACTTAATATGAGTTCAAAAATTTACATATTATGTTTTATTTGTGAATATACTATTGACATAACCATTAAATTATATATGTACTTATTCCGATAGATATTTGCTTATTTTTACTTTAATATTTAAACTAGATATTACAATGTTTATTTTTAAAAATACATTTTACAAATAACAAAAATTTAACCAAGTATTCATACTATAATTTTATTTTGAATTTAGTAACTATAATTACTTTATTATTGTGCTAAAATATCTTGTTGAGTTTACAAATTTAGTATAAGATTTAATTTATAACTATAACTTAATATTAATCTTTCATTTCTGATTATTTAATTTAATTATATCAATGTAATAATTATTTGTAATTCTATATATAAATGCAATAAAAGTATATTATATATCTATCTATCTAATTTCTTATACAATAACTAAACATAATACAGATAACACGTTGCTCGAGATTATATTATTTAATTCAACTCCATATTAACCTAGCTGTTTGAATACCGGTTCGAGACCTTGAAATGCACGTTCGATTCTCGAGTAGAAGAACAATATCGTTTTGATTTTAAGATTGCATAGTTATCACAATTCACAAAGCGCCATCTAGTTCTACGCTAAGCAGACCTTGTATCATGGGCATTAGACAATTGATGTTATATATTATTTTTATTATATACATTCATAATATACATGGAAAACACTCAGACGGATGCAAACAATCATACCTATCAATACAAATGTTTGTACCGTGCGAGGAATGGAATCCACGACCATCCGATGTAAAGCGGTGTGCCAACCCAGCTAGACCGAGGCCATCACTTTTAAGGAATATACTATTAAAGGAATATTAAAGATTATATATTATTAGTACTTTGCAAATTGAAATAAACAGATTTACATATTCATATTTTTGTTATATATATATATGGCTCGAGCATGCGACAATTAGATAAAAAAATTCAGTCTGCACTCAAATCAAATCAATTTAAAATATCTTCATTCATGTAGGTCTATTACAGACTCTTATGATATGTCAAATCTACCGGCAGTCCGGAGTGCTATCGAGCACTCACACACAAATATAGTAAAATCCAGAACCTCACTTTTCGAAATCGGTTAAAAGTTTACAAAGTTACTATAATTACGGCACGACAAATATTGTACGTTTGTATGTAACAATGTCACACGTCTTAAATCCGGTTGTGACATGGTTACAATATTGACGATGGAATTGTGACCATTTTTCAAACAAATAACAACTTTTACAAAATATAATGTATTGGCTGTGCCCGCGACTTCTCCCGCTTGATTTTTTAGGCTATGTGTTAATCTCCGTTCAGTAGTTATTGCGTGAAAGAGTAACAAACATCCAACCATACTCACAACTTTCGTATTAATAATATTATTAACATTAGTTTTAATGTGATCTCAAAAACGTTACCGAGGATGACAAATGCTTTACTACTCTACGAAGCGATGTGTATTTCTTTAATGAATCATAACAGATTGATGTAAACACCTGAACTAACGGTTAACGTTGGCGGTGCCCCAGTGGGGGATGATAGGTCAGGTCAGTCTGTCCATCGTTGCAAATACAATAGAAATTAACCGGTTTCCCAGGAGAGAAGGCGTGAGTCTCAATTTGAAGGTTTTTTTAATGGATGTTTGCTCTGGCGGGGCACCAGTGGAGGATGATAGTATGAGGTCAGATCAGTTAGCCCATTTCGGCAAATGGCAATTTACCACGATGGGTTCCAACTGCGTAGAGGTTTAACTGACATGGTCAATTGTTAGCAATGGGTTATTTCCTCTGGAAACCAGAGAATTTAGAAAATTTAAAAAATCGATCTATTAGTTTCGAGTATATTCGTTACAGACACACAAAAATACAAATCATTCCTCTTCATAATGTTAGTGTAGACAGTGAATAATCATAACTTATTGTTATATGAATCGTTAACATTTTTCTATAAAACATAATCCCTTTAATCAAAATTAGATGTCCGTAATAAATTACGTTGACCATAAAATGTTTAATTACAGCGTTATTAAAGAAATAAACTCGCTTGTAATACAACGTAATCCCAGGTATAAATGTTATGGTTTCTAATTAATTTTGTACCGGTTTAACAAGGAATGGTTAAACTGTACATAATTTTTTTTTTAACTTGACTAAAATCCTAATGGAGACTCTCGGATTTTAAGGGCTAAAACTCCCAAAATTCCTTTTCTTAACTTTCGTCAGAGTTACGGGAGTCAGCAAGCAATCTTCATCCCTGTGCTGGTTCCTGTGACGGAGCTGGTTCTCCTATGCAGACCCATTCTCAAAATGTTGATAACTGGTTAACTCTATGAAGTATCTCCTAAACCTTTACAGGTATATTGTTACAATTAAAAACAGATAAAATATTTGTAAACCGTTTAACCAATTTACCCCCTAATTCTTAAAAAAAGCTTTACAAATTATAACTATTAAAATAGCTTGTCACTCGCTTTCAAAATAAAAATATTTAGTTATTTATTTGTCAAGTTCTTTAAATCGACAAATTTTTTTGGGAGGGTATTGGGTTTCTGTGAGGTGTTAAGATCTGTAGCACTGCGACCTACATAGATCTATTGTGCTCGCTCTTTTTCAAAGATCGCTACCTAGACCCGTCAGGGGCTAGAATTGAAGGATATTCTAAGGAGCGATGGTTTTTATCTCTTCAGGATAGAGTGTACACTTTCACTCAAAGGAGATACTTCGTTTATGAATGGGTACAACCACATAGGACGTGTAGTGGCGTTTCCTCTTCTGCTTTTCCATCACTTAGTTATAGTGTACTTTCCAAAGGAGATATTTTGTTTATATAACGTCTATATTTTTATGACGACCTCGGTGGTCTAGCGGTCTAGCACACCGCTTTACCACCGATGGTCGCGGGTTCGATTCCTCGCACGGCACAAACATTTGTATTCATAAGTATGATTGTTTGTATCGGTCTGGGTGTTTTCTATGTATAATATGTATTTATTTACAAAAAAAAAATATATCTATGTATTTGTATCAGTTATCTAGTACCTACCCATAACACAAGCTTTAACTAGCTTAACTTGGGTCTAGATGGTGCTGTGTGAATTGTCCTGAGATTATTATTATTATATAAATCCGCTAAACCACAAATCCACGAGGATCTTGTATTTAATTAATAAATTTTAAAATAACAGTTTCGTATTATGAAATTTAAATTTAATTTAGAAATGTATAATATTTGTGTTAATATCGAGATATATAATTCCCATCCGCGTAGTACCTTTGTTTTTCCTCATTTCAATAATAATGGGATTGTTTCGAATTCTCTTATTATCTTCAATATGCGGAGATTGAAATTTATAATTGTGTTATTATTAAATTAGCGATCATAACATGGTAGATAAAAAAATAATATACTTCAAATTACGTGTATTTAAAAGAAAAACAGTAAAAATTAAAACATTTATGTACTATTATCTAAATATATATATCTCAAAGGTGACTGACGTAGTGATCTATCAACGCACAGCCCAAACCACTGGACGGATCGGGCTGAAATTTGGCATGCAGGTAGATGTTATGACGTAGGCATCCACTAAGAAAGGATTTTGTTTAATTCTACCCCCAAGGGGATAAAATAGAGGATGAAAGTTTGTATAAAACTTTGTCAATTTTAAACCGATTGGGCTGAGACTTTGCATGCATAAAGCTACCATGACGTAGGCATCCCCTAAGAATTTTGATAAATTCCACCTCCAAGGGAATAAATTAACGCGAGCGAAGCCGCGGGCAAAAGCTAGTTATTATTATTAACGCGAAAGTTTGTTAATATGAATGAATGTTCGTTACTCTTTCACGCAAAAACTATTGAACGGATTTTCATGAAACTTTACAGTAATATAGCTTATACATCACAATAACATATAGGCTATAACTTTCACACGGGTGACACCGCGACCACGGGCACAGCTAGTGTTGTTTATTACTCAATCCCGCGCCACGTTTTTGAATAATTAAAAAAAACCCGGCACTTTCTTCTCAAAAACATCAGCTACCTATTTTTGTCGATAGATTAAAAAAACACCATAACTAAGCGATGGAAAAGGAGAAGAGGAAACGCCACTACACATCCTATGTGGTTGGTAAATATCTCCTTTGGAAAGTATACACTCTATCCTGAGAAGATGAAGATCGTCGCTCCTAAGAATATCCTTCAAATCTTGTTGTTTGCGCGTCTTCTAGAAACATAAAAAAAAAGTTTATAAGCCGCCACACTGCTTTTCCCGCCCCCCTTCCCCTGCACAATATGGACAATTATTATGCACCGCCATCTATCGAATGAAACAACCATCGCATGCATCAATAAACAAAAGGAGCTCCTTAAATATTAAAACAAACTGTATTTGTGTCGCGAGTGTGGTGTAATATATTTAAAAAACTCAAGTGCTTCAAGTCGCCGATACAGTTAGTCTAAAAACTATAATTTGTGCAATTTGGGTGAGTTACTTCATTTCCATTTTCCTTCGATCACTGCAGTGTGGCTAAAAAATACATCACTTGTCCCTGACGGGTCTAGGTAGCGAACTTTGAAAATGGGCAAGCACAGTATATATATGCAGGATGCAGTGTCAGAGGTCTTACCTGACAATAACCTAAAACGCCCAATAAAAAAAAGTGATCGAAAATCTAATTGTTTCCTTTTTTCGGGTTTTAAATTATAAAAAAAAACCGATCATCAACAAGTATAGACGAACTGCAATAAAATATAGGAAAAATACTATATGTTATGTAATACCAAACTATTAGCATTAATTAGTGTAAAGAAGATATATTATTATCATTTGATAATATTTGAATATCCTAATTATATAAATCAAATAAGTGGACACAAATATTATTTGTTTATTTTTTATACTATATTAGGTCATTATTAAGAGATGAAGAAATCATTAATGAAAGAAATTATATTTTTTTAATGTTATGGAAAATACGTCTAAATGCCACCTAATGGAAAGTTTTAACTGTTACCTATATATATATATATATACTTATATATGTAGTAGGTATAGGTATGTATAGTTATCACTACACGCTGTAAGAGATTTATTATTAATATTATGACGTACTATAGATATTATTTTTAAATATAACATATTTTTACAATTATCTTTTAAATTATATTTTACTTGGATATATTACTATCATCCATCTGTTTTCTGCAAATAAAATTATTCAATTTCATAACCTACTAAATGTGCCCGCGGTTTCACCCATATGAAATTTATAGCCTATGTATTATTCTGATGTATAAGCTATCGTTGTAAAGTTTCATCAAAATCGATTCAGTATTTTTTGCATGAGTGTAACATACATTCATTCATCCTGGATAGACCCATCTATCCATCCATAGTCACAAACTTTCACGTTTATAATATTAGTAATATTTGTAAGATTTTCTATGCCAACACCGGAGAGACCTCTCATTGACTTTGTGCATACATACTAACTACTAAATAATTTTGAATTAAAATTTACAAAGTGAATACAAGGCGTGTAATAAAGAACAAAGTAACGATTGCTCAAATTTATGTACATACCTTAAACAAAGGAATACTTTCAAAGCATCTATGTGTAATATCTATTCTGTTCTATTCTATTTCTTCTTTTCTTTCTTCTTCTCAGTTCTTTGAACAGACCTCCAAATTTTAAATGATCATATTTAGCAACGTATTTTTGTTTTTCAGTTACTTATTTCCATAAATAATTTAAATAGTTTTTTTTTATTATGCTTTCTTCATTTATATTGTTATAGTAAATCATTATTAGATAATATCATGTAGCAATGATCTAGTATTTATAGACAATAGTATTCAAAAAGAAACAATAATGTGACAGTCGACATTTTGGATGCACGTCGTTTACAAGATGGCGTCGAGTTCAGTATTCAGATTTCTGATTCTACTCGCGGTACTCATGTGGGTTGTCGCCGCTGAAGACGTGAGGAAAAGGCGGGAACCATGGACTAATGGGAGTTGGTTGTAAGTATATATTATTTTTATTTAATTTTGAAACTTCCGATCGGTAGACGGTAAAAAGTCGTCTGCGTGGGTACCTCAGTTACACCTAATTCAACCGCCAAGCTGCTTGCTTTGTAAGATGTATTTTGGTTGTTGGATGCAGATTAAGCAGTGAAATTATAGTATAGGTGACATGACATCTTAGTACATTGGAGAAGCAATGCTTGAGAAGTCGTGAGGTGTCGCACGATAACGTGATGTCCTGCAGTTATAAGTATATGGATAACTTAAAACGTTGATTTACTCGTATTGACGACATTTTTGTATTGTTGCAGAACTCACTTAATAACACATTCTTGTTAATATTATGTGATTTGTAAACATATAAACTACTTATCTATGTACTTGTTTATTATCAATACTAACTGTGCCCGCGACTTCGCCCGCGTGTTATGACCTTGGACAAAAGAAAAAATGTCCATCTAACCCAAAGAAAAAAGTTTCATCGTTCTAGCTTCAAAAATAACGACTTTCCATAAAACTTTCATCCCCTATTTTATTTTACAAGCTTAGAATGTTATATTTATTTATATTTAATCACTAGCCTAAAATATAAGTTGCAAGCTTCTAGCTTTAAAAACGACGATACTTTCATACAAAACTTTATCTCCCTTTTCAACGCTTTTTTAGCATTAAAAAGTAGCCTATGTCTTTTCTCAGAATCTAGACTATCTGTGTGCCAAAATACATTCAATTCAATCGTTTCAGTAGAAATGGCGTGAAAGGGAGACAGACAGTTACTTTAGCATTTATAATATTAGTAAGGATTGGTTGAGTTTTTCTGAAGCCTGATTACTTGTTAGTGTTATCGATCGGGAGTCTACGGCCTGCTTAAAGTCTAGACGTGGACTCAGGTGGGAATATGAAAGGCAATAAACCTCACTTTATATCTCGAACGACTGACTATATCAACTATTTAGATTTGAAATCGAAAGAGCAACGTAGAGTCATTTATTTATTTATTAGCTCTTATTTCGCGCGGAATAACACGTTTTCTTGCGGTAAAATAAATAATAAAAACCCAGAACAACTATATATTGCACAAAAAATGTATATTTAGTAACTTTAGTTACTTCCCTTTTTGTAAATTCCAAGATGATATATATAGGAGTATTATATATGTATCTCCAAAAAGTAAATTAAGTATTTCTTTCAGTTGTCTAGTACCCATAACAAGCTCTGCTCAACTTGGATTTAGAGAGCAGAAGGGGATTGTTAGTAATGTGGATTAATAACCACAATGCTACCAATGTACCATGTCACGTTGACACCTTTTCATTATTAGCCCCTAAAAAAAAAGTTGGAATTAGATTACGTTATATGTATTATAAAACTATTTATAATGATCATGTAGTAATCAGATTCAATAGAGCAACACACAAGTTTCTTGCTCATTCTTCTTGTGATGAGGCTGCGTTCCGACTGAGTGGTAGAATAAAAAATATGACTATTCAAAAGTAATTGATTTTATTTGAATATAGAATATTCTATTTTCTACATTTCTCATTAAAACTATTTTTTCAGAGTTCATTTTTTTCTATATTACTGTATTAGCTACTAGCTGACCTGCGCATGCATCACACTTATCATTATATATCGAGCAATGTATATAATATATTATTAAATTATAGCCTGTATGTTATTCTCATGTATAAGTTACGTTACTGTAATGTTTCATCAAAATCCCTTCAGTAGTTTTTGCGTGAAAGAGTAATAAACATCCATCCATACTCACAAACTTTCGCATTTATAATATTAATAAGAGTTCCTGCAAACTACAAGTATTGAATACTCTTTAGATATGTAACTCATTGATAAAGTCGTTTACTAAGAAGGTATGAAAATACATGCATTTTCCTTTTGTACATTCTATATTCGTATAGATAAAAACAATATATATTTTTTATGGGACGATACGCGAATAAAATATACAATAACCATACAATGTTGTTGAAGCGTTTTATTTTATTTTAAACACTATGGAAACCTTCAGAATCTATGTTTATATTTATTTTATCTGTGTGTATACAATGTTTATATGAATCTGCACTTACTTTTAATATTTGAACAACATTTGCCAATTTCTGTACTTACTAAACAATTTTAGTATAGTAAAATAACAACCTAATATTATAGTCCTAAATATAATATTAATGGTACTGACCTAGTAACAAGTTTACTACCACAATATTCACCTAAAAGGTAGTGAGACCACATCTGGCGGTCACCAAAGAAAAAAATTGTGTGAGATATTACTGACTGACTCCCTGGTGATGGAAGAGCCGATATCAAACTAAAATTAACCATGTACATGGCGGTACAAGCACCTCCTGCCATGTTGGACTAAAATACCTATATCCATTGAAATGTGGACATGTCAAGTGTTTCACCACGTTATTGATAATTATCTACCCCGTCTGGGATAAGTCGTAATGGTTTATTATTTATTATATACATGTATTGACCACCTCGGTGGTCTAGCGGTTTAATACACAGCTTTACTTCCGGGTGGTCGCGAGTTCCAAAACTCACACAAACATTAATATTAACGAGTATGATTGTTTGTATTGGTCTGGGTATTTTTCTAAGTGTATTTTATTAAAATAAAATAATCTAAGTATTTTGTATTTTGACTAATGAATTAGTGCTAGTTGGTAGTTTGTATTAACAAATTTCAACTTAAGAAACTAGTTGCTCGTTTTTTTTGTAACGAGACAGCTTTCTTAAAGGGCGATAGATTAGAAAAATAAGTATGACTAAAATTGCTTAAATTTAAGTTTATTTGAATAAATTATTTTCTATTCTATATCAGTTCTCTAGTACCCATAACAAATACTCTACCAAGCTTGAGACAAGATGACGGTGTGCGAATTTTCTAGGGGTTTTAAATTATTATATTTAACATAAATCATATTCAAGAAGACTGCTCGACTCTATCTTTGTGGATGTTTTCGCAACGCCGTACAACCAGAACTGATACTGAAGCATGTTCACATTCGGACACACGAATGTTAAACTTATTGAGTCCTGCAACAAAATAATAAATAATTGAATAGAGCTTGAGCTTGAAATCCCTCATAGAGATCCCGGAGAAGTAGAGTATTGATTGAATGAAATCGTGAATCTGTTCAATAGTACAGATAATCATTATCAAATTGTTTGCCATTCAAAATACATTCAAATTAAAGTAAGTGTGTCTGTGACAATTACTTATAAAAAAAAATTGTCGTGTGGAAAAATGGTGGAGCATGACGAGTTGGGCCTGTCAAATGATGATGCTTGCTAGCGAAATGGACGGTGCCTCAAGATTAGGAAAGTCCACCTTAACAGGAAGAGCCGTGGATAAAGAAGTGGAAGAGTCTTTAAAAGACCGTTCTCCCGCTAGAGGAGTGACGAGGAGGGGTGTGTGAAACCCTTACCCACTAAAAACCCAGAAGGTATACCTACCAGCGTCATCGCCGGAGTCGCGAGGTCACGTTATCACTTTACTGCGACTACGGCGTTGGTCCGTACTATAGATGGTGTAGGGCACGGACCATTTTGTTGTACCATTAGTGGTACCTGCATTAATCCGCCGTAATTTAGATCCCCGTTTGAATTAGACGGGGGATCGATCGGAGGGGGGCGACGGGGTGTACCTATGGGCACGACCGCTGGTGTCGCGGGGTCGCATTAGCAATCTACCACGACTCTGGAGTCGACCCGCCCTGTAGATTATGTAGGACAGACCCCATTGTACCATTAGTCGTACCTGCATTAATCCTCCATGGTTTATATAACCCTGGCTCTCTGTGGTGTCCACAAACAGTAACACGTTGAACCCAGTGATCCAGTACTCTTCTCTATACTCCAATGGTGTGTCGGTTTGAAACTAAACAATATATATAACAAATAAGTTAAATTTAGTGCAATCTATAATATTTAATAATAATAGTAACATACTAAACTAACTTACTTAACAATAACAAATAGTTATAGTAATGAACAAATACAGTAAAAAAAAACTTTAATAATAATAATAATTAAATAACAAGTAGCGATAATAAAATAATTGTAATTTGCTAACGTTATAAAAGAGAATAATTTTGTATAAAAAAGGTAAAAATATAATCTATATGATCTGTTACGATTTAAGTCAAGATTTTTTTATACTATGATAGTGGGACACCTGAGACACTAGGGGTGTCACGTGCGCATTGCCGACCCTTAAGAAACTTTAATATTTCTTTGAAAAGCCAGTGCTGTAGTCTCGTGAGAAAACCTCGGCAGGTAGTTCATTCCACAATCTAAGTGTACGCGGGAGGAAGCTCCGTTGAAACCTGTCACTGAGCACTGTCTGAGACCACTTAGATTCTAGCGTGTGGGGATGAATTCCCTGTCGATGGAGAGCGGTGCGATGGTAAAAGGTAGCCGTGGACATCATGTCGAACGATTCCTCAGAACATTACAATAGAACTAATCTTAAGTATATTCATTAAAGTTGTATAAGTATGCTTCAACTGGCGATGTTAATAAGTAACGACTTAAAAAATATATATAAATTCAACTTAATACAAAAATTATTATTTAAAAAAATTCTTACCGCACTTGGAAACGACAATGTTAGGTTGATATCTTGTTGGGGAAATGTCCACGATTTGGTTCCATATATCACTAAGTCTTCATCTGTCAACATACAGACATACACGCTATATTTTATGTATTTATTTATTAGCAGGCTATTTTGCCCATTTTGTTAGTATTTCTACGAGTATGCAATTTTATGTTATTTGTGGTGTTCAGTTCTATTAAAGTTAATGTTAACGAGTACAGATATAAAAATAACAATTTAAATAATAACAAAAATAAATATTAAATTAAATTATAATAAAATCACAATAAAAAATTAAAAAAGAATACATATACAAATTATTTATATTTATTCAACCATACTTTTTATTTATTTACTGAATACTCTAATTTTACTATGTTACTATTTTAAAATGTTTATATATTATTTTATATTTCTATCTTATTATTATTAAAAAAATAAGTAATACGCTTTTTATTAACAATAGTTTTTCAAAAATATGATGACACCAGAGCATACCAAATTAGATTAAATAGAGTAGTATTAAAGATAATAAAAATAATGATTTTTAATTATAAATAAACGTCGATAACTTCGGCCCCTGTTGCATATCAAAAATATTTTTTTTCATTTCTATTTATAAGGAAAATAAAACAAAATTATAAAACAATAATACAACAACATACATTGATTATCATATCTGTTATCAGTGGTTAGATATCATTATAGTACAGTCATATACGCTAGCGTGCGAACGCGTGTCTATTACGTGGATTACTTTTTTTTAATTTAAACATTTATAATCAATAATAATATAAAATACCGCCATTTTGTAATAAAATAATCTAAGCTGTGCTGTGGATATTATAGATCTATATAGAAACTATAATGGAATATAATAGGAACAAAAAATATTTCTTAAAAAATTACTTGAATTGAACCTACAACCAACAAATTGGAAACTAAAGGAAGTGATAAATAAATTATCTAAAACACTAGTCAGTCCCAAACTAAGCAACTGTGTGCAAATATTTATTTATTTATTTATAATTGACCTAACTTTTTCTGAATAAATTTAAAACAGTGTTATTTTTGTAAATATATGAATTTACAGATTGTTAATTACAATTTAAATACATAAACTAATGTCCCGTTTTGAGTCAAACTATAAATGGCCATGTCAGTCATAAGGAATAAACAGTACTTACTTTCGTGGTAATCACTTAAACAATAATATCTAAATATGGTTTTGTATAACGTTGAATTCATTAATGTATGTCCTCCCATCAAGGTGCTGTTTTCATATATTTCTTCACCAGGACCATCGTATTCATACATAACTTTCCTTATACAGTTCACACACGAAAACAACAAAAGTAATAAACACAGCTTTCCTCTCATTATGTATACACATAATATATATTTTTAATTATATTTTAATATGTTATTATTCAATTACGCTGTAAATTACACGTCAATATGTAATAAACAAGATTAATTAGTCAAGATTATATCGTATGCCATAATTAATATTGATATCAAAATTATAGATAAAAAATGGACGTTTTAGAGATCCGTATTTTATTTTACACAAGAATTATTAGGTTTCGTTTTTTTACCACGAACAACCACATTGTGGAATCACCTTCCAGCAATGGTATTTCCGAACCGATACGATATTGAAACCTTCAAGAAAAAAGCTTATTCATTTTTAAAAGACGACGTACTTGCAATTCCCCTGGTGTTGCGGGTGCTCATGGGCGGCGGTAATCACTTACCACCAGGTGAGCCGCATGCTTCTTTGTCCCCTATGTTATAAAAAAACATAGCTGTTAACTGCGACTTCGTGCGCGTGGAATTAAATTTTTCTTTTATTAAAATAAATAAATTTAACAAATAAAAGTAGCCTAAGGTAGTAGTCACTTTAAAATCGGTCCAGTCGTTTCAGAGATTAGCAAGAACAAACAGACAGACAGACAAAAATCTTTTTCTTTATTTTTTTAAGTGAGACCCAGATATATGTACTTTCATATGCATTTAGTGAGAAGCTGTTTGGAATTACCATTAGACACTTAAATTTTATTTATTTTTATAGATTATTACCTGAAGTAAAAACTGTTTAAGAAAATTTAGCAGGAGTGTAAGATTTTGTAGACATAAAGCAGTCTATACTTTATGTCTCTCATTTTAGCACACCGCCATACCTGATGGTCGCGGGTTTGATTCCTCTCTCAGTGCAAACATTTGTGTTAATGAGAGTGATTGTTTGTATTGATGATCTAATTTAAAAAATATATCTAATTATAAAAAAATAAGCAATTTAAATATATAAATATAGTATATTTTTTATTATAAAGAAATAATATAAGACGGAATAGTACTAAGAAATACTAACAGTACTGCTAGCATCATTACATTGTATAAAATAATGTCGCTGTCGCTGTCTTTCCCTATGTATGCTTAAATCTTTAAAGCTATTTGGACGATTTTTGAAGCGGTTTTTTTAATAGATAGAGTGATTCAAGAGGAAGGTTTATAATAGAAATAGAAATAAAAATCTTTATTCAAATAAACTCATTACAAGCACTTTTGAATAGTCATATTTTGATTCTACCACTCATTCGGAATGCAGATTCATCACAAGAAGAATGAGGAAGAAACTTGTGTGTTGCTCTTTTTAATAGATGTTTTTTATATAAATAATTACTGTAATTATATCAATTCATGCGTCGAGGCATGCGATAATTAACATAGAAATCGCTACGCACTCATTATTAGTGTATTAGTGTAATCATATAATGTACACCTATGCTAAGCCGGGGCGAAGCTAGCTTTTGTATATATGGAACCCATGATAAAATATCAACTTTACGCACTCTGGTTCTTTATCAATAGTGGGTAGGTAATTTGATTTTTTACCGAATTATTTTATCATAGTCTCCTCTGCGTTTAACAATACCCACCGTTTTAATATTAAAAGTGTGTATTACAGAAGTTTAACACCATGTGCATTACTAGCTACATCCCGCGGTGTTGCTTACGAAAAATACAACATACGTTACTCGCTGGTCATTAAGCATTGAAAAAAAATTAAATACGGTCAAGTTTTTGCGTTTATTAATTATAAACTTGTGTCGCTATTAATATAGCTCTATATAAATGAAAAAAATATACTTTTTGTTGTTATTATATCCAATTATTTTGGTTTAGGTCTAGAAAGAAAGAAAATATATTTATTTGACACATATAAATATTGTAACTATACATGTTGTTGCGTAGGAATGAAGATCATATCCTAAGGACGGTGTTACATATGAATGTGGATGGTTATAAGGGTAGAGGAAGACCGAAAAAGATGGATGGACTGTGTGAAAGATGATATGGTGAGAAAGGGAGTAAATAACGGAATGACTGCGAACAGAGATGAATGGAAGAGAAAAACCCCAAATAAATGGGATAAGGAAGAAGCAGATGATGACATGTTGTCCTTTAATATATTGTTTATGTCTTTTCTTATATTGTATCTATCTATCTATCTAAAAGAATCATAGCAAACATATAATAAGTAATTAACATTCTTAATACTAGGTTTGTTACCGGTGTGTTGTTCAGTCACATGTTTATCGGAACTCGTTTATTATTAAAAACTCGACCTTGGTCGAGTGGTATTGTTAAGTGGTAAACGATGGTAACCCGAAGGTCGGCCTTCGATGAAATTTTAGTCTCGATCGGTCAAACCATTTCGGAGGAGTATCGTCACAAAGAGTGCAAATCTGATCTCTAAAATCGCTCCGAGCTCTGTGCTCCGCCCGCCGATCAATTATGAATATAGGTTTATAATTAACTAGCTGTTCCCGCGACTTCGTCCGCGTGGAATTTTAATTTATTTTTCTAAAATAAAAGTAACCTAAGTTACTCGTTATTACAGCAGCTACCTGCCAAAAAATATCCCGTCAAAATCGGTTCAGCCATTTCAGAGATTACCCGGGACAAATAGACAGACAGACAAAAATTGTAAAAACTGTTATTTTGGTGTATGTACCGTATTTATATTCATATGCACGTAATAAAAAACGGTTATTTCAATATTACAAACAGACACTCCAATTTTAATTATGTTTATTTTTATTTACAGTTGCGACCAAATTGGTTACTACTCACCTCAGGCTTTGCGTAATTAATTTGAAATGTATATAGAGCACCATTGCTTTCGTGAATTTTTTTTCGAACTACTCTAACGCTGTTGGTCACAGCTGGCCTTTACAGCTGCACCGGACGATTGGGAACTAGTTCAAGTGGCACTCCAAACCAAAGGAAGGACTGAAAAGTATACACTCGTATACACTCTATCCTGAGGAGATAAAAACCATCGCTTCTAAGAATATCCTTCAATTCTTGATCCTGACTGACTAGGTAGCGAACTTTGAAAAAGGGTGAGCACAATAGATCTATATAGGTCGCAGTGTTACAGGTCTTAAAACCTGATAATAGCCCAAAATCAATAAAAAATCAATAAAAAAAAGCACAAAGTCAATCATAATAAAAAAATAAATAAAGAAAGTATATGATCATAAAAAAAAGGTTGATAACGAATTAAAATTTTAAATTAATCCTATAATATTATACCATTCTGGAAATCAAGTCCAAACCCAGCATCCACACTTGAATTAATAATGCAGTGTAAACCGGTTCAAACAGGGCTGCCAACTGTATGAAGAGTCTCGTTCAGACACGAGATTTTTAACCGTTACTACGAGGATATTTCATCCTCATACAATTTTGTATGAGATTATAACTTAGGGAAATCTGCCAAAATAGTACAACTATTGTTATCTTATTATCTTATGTATTTATGAATATTATTTATAAATATTATGTATTTATGATTCTCCACATTTGATTAATTAAAACAATTTCTTCCTAAAACATGTCATTTAAGTTTATTACATAACCAATTTACCATTTTTTTAAAATATTAAAAATTATGTATGTTCTAAGGGGGTCATACGAATTTTAGAAAGCTTAATGTGAGGCATGGCACAAAAATATTGGGAAATATTGTCTAGGGAGTAAAATTTAGTCAACTTGTTTTTAAAATAATGTCCTGTCAATTATATAAAATCTGCGGGTAGTCCGTTAAATATTTTATATAAAATACATTTCTTTTAAATAACAATCAGAGAGCCAAAATTAACTAATGTACGAGACTTTATTACATTTTTTTATTTATTTGTACATTTTACGGTTGTCAACCCTGACTGGTTTTAAACATAGAGAGCCCACCATCCTTTTGATCTCAGATCCCTCATTAGGACTACTTAAATACTATTAGATGCTATTATATTCACGCCTAAACATCACGAAGATAACCAAAGATTTATGTTTTAATGAAAGTATATATATAGAGTTGTTAATTAGCAGTTATAAACGACAAATAATAACTCGGAACAATTCACAAAGCCATCTAGTATCAAGCTAAGTAGAGCTTGTGTTATGGGTACTAAACAACTGATGAAAATACGTGAACACAAACATTTATATTTTTATAAATACGGTCAATAAACAAAAAAACACCCAGAGTAATACAATCATACTCATAATTACAAATATTTATACTATGAGAAGAATCTAACCCACGACCATTAGAAGTTAGTCAGTGTGCTATACCACTTGACCACTGAAGCCGTCTATTTTTCAAACAAATATTTGTTTTAAAAGAAAAATATAATATTTATAATTCACAGCTCTATATCATTCCTCTTGCTACGGCGTTGCACCTTAAATTATAACTTTACTATACCGGTCGTGAGGTCCTTTTACGATAACGACCAATTAATTTGGTCCATAAAATACATGGTACAATAAATAAATATCTAGGTGCATAGTATATCCCAAACTGTTTAAAACTATCATCAACAGCATCTAAAAATTAGGGGCAATACAAAGAGTGGTAGTGGGAACAAAATGGGGTCTAGCTAAAACTGATCTAGAATCCTGATTAAAATAGAAATTAATCCATACAAACTATATTCGTCACATTTTAACTTACAGCTATACTCTTGAGTTGAATAGGTTGACGAAATCAATTTCATTCATGCAAAAATCATATCAACACCTACAAGAAAACCTAATATTCACATCACTATGCAATAAAACATAGAACTTCCTTCTTTTCGAACTTGGTTGAAAATATAATATAGCAATGTAGTGTGTTCCCCAATTTTCTAATAGAAAAATTAAGGCGTTTCGATCTATAAATATTTTTAGACTTTAGTCTACATGCGTATATTACTATCATTTTTCCGCCGCGTCTCGACTTCTGTTCTACATCTGTTGATTTTGTTTGTGGCTTTATTTGCTGAAATTCCATGCCTAGCATCCGTAAGTCGAGCCTGAGAGTT